TTTAAAATGTTACTAAACCCAGGACCCTGTATTCACTATATCTGGTTTCCCACAGTACACAGAACATGGAAATGCAATTACCCGTATTTTCCGGCGTATAAGGCGACTGGGTGTATAAGACGACCCCCTAATTTTTCAGTTAAAACATAGGTTTTGGGCTATACTCGCCATATAAGACTACCCCCCTTCCGAGGCAACACCATTTAAAAACATCAGATTTTTTAATTGAAATGGTTATGACTTACCGGTACTTAAAATCCTTCAAAATCCTCATGTTCATCCTCTGACATCATAAGTTCATGAATGACATCTTGTGATACATTTGTAAGACAGTCATCATATGGATCAAATTCCAAATCAGATGGTTACCGCTGGATGTGCGGTAATACGGTAGCTTCGGCTACATACAGTATATATACAGCCCGCTGGATGTGCGGTAATACGGTAGCTTCGGCTACATACAGTATACAGTATATATACAGCCCGCTGGATGTGCGGTAATACGGTAGCTTCGGCTACATACAGTATACAGTATATATACAGCCCGCTGGATGTGCAGTAATACGGTAGCTTCGGCTACATACAGTATACAGTATATATACAGCCCGCTGGATGTGCAGTAATACGGTAGCTTCGGCTACATACAGTATACAGTATATATACAGCCCGCTGGATGTGCAGTAATGTACATACAGTATACCGCGCTGAGCCAATCTGGCTCAAAACAAATGTCCCTATGACTGATTAATCTGTCAGCCCGCTGGATGTGTGGTATATACAGTATACTGAGTATATACCACTGTGGTTTATACAGTATACTGAGCCAAGCTGTTTTATAAACATACCGGTACGTCCCTGCGGTAATCAGCCCGCTGGATGTATGTATGTACAGTAGCTGAGGCTACATACAGTATACACTGGGCCAATCACGGCGAGCGAAGTATTCTACTAATGAATACAAAGCCTACTCGGATTGGCTAAGGTTGTGACATCATCAGCCCACCTCTCTGACTCAGCCAATCCGAGCAGGCTTTGTATGCATTAGTAGAATACATCACTCGCCGTGATTGGCCTAGTGCAGGGGCGGACTGACCATTTGGAAAACTCGGGCACTGCCCGAAGGCCCGGGGTCAGTAGGGGGCCCCATGAGATGCCCCTGGTACCTTTTTCATAGGCTTTTTTGAGTTTGGGCAAGGACACAGGGGCCCCATGATCCCCTATTGCCCGGGGGCCCCGTGAGTTGTCAGTCCGCCCCTGGTCCAGTGTATACTGTATGTTGCCGCAGCTACCGTACATACACGCATCCAGCGGGCTGATTACAGTAGGGACGTACCGGTACGTTTTCAAACCGCTTGGCTCAGCACAGTATACTGTATATACCGCACATCCAGCGGCTGACAGATTAATCTGTCATAGGGACATTTGTTTTGAGCCATCTTGGTTAGCACGGTATACTGTATGTACAGTATTACCACACATCCAGCCAGCTTGACCCAAACAAATTCAAGGTTCACATTTTATACCCCGCGTATAAGACGACCCCCAATTTTTGGGGTATATTTTTAAGTATAAAAAGTAGTCTTATACGCCAGAAAATACTGTATTTTAGTAAACATAAACTGCTAAATACCTTTTCTCATTAGCAGTCAGAGTAGTCTTGTGACTTCTATCAATGTTCAGCTGAGCACTGGTTAAAGCTTGTAGGAGAAATTTTAATTTTGCTCTAGAAGGATGCAGAACCCCTGACCTCTTTCTGGACAGTGCTGGATGGCCCTGTGCTGATCACATGCACTCTCCCCCCCAAAAAAAAAAATCCTCTCTAATAATACACCAAACTGAGTATGTGCAAAGTGGCTCCACACAATATGTCTTATCAGGAGATAAGAGGGGGAGGATCATAGAACTCAGGATCAAACCGGCTTTTTACAAAATGCAGAGGATTAACCCCTTCGGTTCAGAACGGTCTGGATAAAAGCGCACAGATGTGTCCCAAAGGAAATAAGTGAATGGTATATGTCAACTATGATTGGTGGGGAAAAAACTCACTGCTGCCATGGTAAAAACACATCGGTTTGTGGGAGGTATGAACAGGAGCCAGGCGCTGTGTAGTTTTGTGATAGAAATAATACACCTTGTATGGAGGTGTGTCTTTAATAAGTCATATGGTAAAACAATAATAAATAACCAGCCTGTGGCTTTAGGAAGCCAGGTTCCAAGATGGACGGCCCGTCCGCTCAGAGGGAAGCAGTGGAGTAGAATGCCTGTCAGTGCAGGGACCACGTTTACCCGACGTCCCAGCGTCCTGGATGACGTCACCACGATGTGGAGAGACAGAGGGGGGGAACTCTTGCTGGAGCCGCAGCTTTAGAAGGAAGAGGCCGGTTGCTGGGACAACATGTTTCGCGCGCATGCGCTTTGTCAAGTCTGTGAAAAGTCCAGCAATCGGCCATTTTATAGGAGACCTGCACGGCAGAAGGGGCCGGCTTAACAACCAAGGGGATAATCAAAGGGATAATCAAGAGCAGACGGCTCGTCTCACAACAGGATCAGATTGCAATTGAAATATGAAAACACATTATAAGGACAGGAACAAAGTGTGATTAAAACCTAAATATGACCATATTAAAAACCTTTTGGGCTTAATTGTGTCAAAATGGCATGTGCAAGATTATCAAGGGGAAAAAAAAAAAAAAAAAAAAAAAAAAAAAAAAATGGGGGGGGGGGGGGGGGGGGGGGGGGGAAGGCTGCTTAATGAAGCTTCATTAGCCAGCTGGATGAGTTCACATCTCAAAAACATTGCTGACAGCAATAAAACACAGGAATGGTGGGAAAGATTGTCAATAATCCTATTCATATCTATAATAGTGAATAGGAAAATTATCATTATATTGGTGCTAATAATATTCATAAATATAATAAAACTACATACATATTTTATAAAACAAACTTGCATAGGTATATATATATAATAAAACAATATAATGAAAAAATAAAATATACACACATATATATATATATATATATATATATATATACATATACAAAAAAAAAAAAAAAAATATATATATATATATATATACATATATACATGTGGTAATAAACAGAACAAAAAAAAAAAAAAAAAAAAAATTATAAATACATTTCAGTAATTACTCTTATGGACCGAATAAACAGAGTGGTATTAGATATATAAAATATGAAAAATAATGTATAAAATATCAAAGATAATAATCATGTAATAATAGTGATGTGTGTTTTATTATAAAATATATGGAGAACCCTAAGTTACCACTTAGATGATACTATGTACTTCAAGGTCCTCATTAAGGCCATTCGGTACCATAGATCCAAATTTATAGATCCAAAAGGTTTCCCTTTTACATAGGAGGGCTAACCTCTCATTGTCAGTAAGGGTTCCTTTGGGAATGTGTTCTATGGCCATCACTTCTAGGACACTAAAATTCTTGTTGTGATGGCAAAGAAAATGCCTAGGGACACTGTATTTGTCACATCCATCTTTTATGAGCCTTCTATGTTCTCCAATGCGTTTACGTAGAGGACTTATTGTGCGGCCCACATATATCAATTTACAGGGACATGTGAGCACATAAACCACATGATCTGTGGCACAAGTAATAAAATGTCGAATGTCATAAGAGATCCCTTTCGGATCAGTAATTTCTGATTTACCATGGGTGATAAATTGGCATGTCAAGCAACCTTTCTTTTTACATTTGTAAATACCAACTCTGTTATCGAAAAAGGAACAAATGTCCTGTTTGTTTTGAGAGGACATGGACAGTTTACTGGGAGCTAGAATATTTTTGAGCGTACGGGCTTTTCTGAATGTGACCTGGGGAGCAGATGGAAGACTGGGTGCCAGACGGGGATCAAGTTGCAAAATGTGCCAATGTTTTCGTATAATCTTGGTAATCTTACGATATGCCGTATTATAACCAGTTACAAACCTAACGGAGTTTGACTGGTCATGGGCACGTGTTTTTGTAGTGGCTGAGTTTTTGCCATGTTTGGTGAAAGCCTCATTAATGAGTGTAGGGGGGTAACCTTTTTCACAGAATTTGGCAGACAATTCGGTGCCCAATTCCTTATAATCATTGAGTTTAGAACAATTTCTTTTAAGTCGCTGGAATTGGCCACTCGGAATGTTGTTTTTCCATGCCGGGTGGTGACAGCTTGAATAGTGAAGATATGAGTTACCACTGGTGGGTTTGGTGTGATTTGTGGTATGAATAGTGTCACCCTCAAATGATAAAACTAAGTCTAAAAAAATTATACTAATAGGATCAAACACGTGAGTGAATGATAAACCAAACTTGTTGGAATTACAATGCAGTACGAAAGGTAAAAACGTGTCAAGAGCACCATCCCAGATTAAAATAATATCATCAATATATCTTCCAAAGAAGACAATATGTTGGGCAAAGGGGTTGTTTGACCATATAAATTCTTTCTCCAGAGGCCCATAGTTAGATTAGCGTAACATGGAGCAAAATTTGCCCCCATAGCTGTGCCGTTTATTTGCAAGTAAAACTGATTTAAAAAGGTAAAAAATAATTATGTTGTAAACAGAATTCCGTGCAATCAATAATAAAATTAGCCTGAACGGAGTTCATGTGGGCATCTGATGATAAAAAGTGTTGAAGGGCAGACAAACCTACTCTGTTGCAGAGGATTAACCCCTTCGGTTCAACAGTGAGTATAACAAGCATGCTTTACTGCATATACAGACTGATTTTACTACTGTAGGTTTAGTTACACTTTAAAGATTAAAGTAATTTCAGTAAACATGTATTAAGACAGATGTTCGTTAGGCTGTCATATTAGGAGCAGTGACTGTGTCCGTGCAGCCGCTGAGTCTCAATTGACATGAATGGAACTGCCTGCACAGGGATGCACAGAACATCTGTGCACATCTGAATAATTTATTCTATAATGGCACATTCATATGACTATTAGAACATTCTGTTTTCATTTTGCAGCCTCCAGTCAGAGAAAACTCCAACAAGAAGAATTACAAGATCCTCATCTGTTCAAACACAGAGTTTTTCCTCAGACTCAGATCCCTTTAGTTCATCTCCAGGTAAAAATATGAACATCTAAATTCATTCAATATTTGTAATGTGTTTCATTAAACCCGTCTCCTACAAAAATGGCTAACAAAGCACATGGTCTACATATAGTTTAGTTTTTGAAGTGTGTGTGTGTAGATACACACACACACACACACACACACACACACACACACACACACACACACACACACACACACACACACACACACACACACACACACACACACACACACACACACACACACACACACACACACACACACACACACACACACACACACACACACACACACACACACACACACACACACACACACACACACTATTTGTTTTGCTTCTGAAGTTATCAGCAAAATTGTTGATCTACAAGCTATAAGCAGGGTGGTGCCACCATTATAAACAATTTAGCATGTTTCTGTGTTGACGGCCTGCTTATTATATTGAGTGTCCTACATTTACTTGTGATGTCCTACCTTTATGCTCTCCCTTTCCACTAAACATCTTACCCTCCAGTGTCCACAACACGTTTGGATGGTAGCTATGTCTAAAATCACAGGAATTCATTTTTCTCTTCCTGAATTTTGGCACTCAAGATGGTATAAGAAGTTTACAGATTTGTGATATGGGGACTCCAGTTGGGAGACTGTTAAAGCAAATTAAATACAGAAAATGCAGAGGTGTACGGCATGTGAACACTGAAACTCTTGTGCATTTCAGTGCCCAGGAAATGGCATTCAAAATTCTGTTCATGATCAGCTATGGAGCTGTTTACAGCAAGAGTGCTGTAATGTGCTTTCAAATGACTGTATGCGATTTGAGCACATTATTCACTTGGTGCAGAGAGAGATATGTCAGAGTCTCATTGGGCTTTTTTTGTTTGCTCTTTTTTTTTTTTCATTAACAAACAGTAGGCACACAGCAAATTCATTAAAATTAATGAGGACACTGCAGGTAAAGCTGACTGTGTGTTTTATACATTTTTCAAAAGTGTCCTGTATGTTTTGCCATATATTGAATATTTATTCGATTGACACAGACAATGAAAATAATACTTATGCAAATTAAAGGGATTTTTTGTTCATCAACATATTACAGAGCTGAACTCTATGAACTTGTACATGTCTTTGTAAATGATCAGGAATAGTGTTTTTTTTTTTTTTCTTTAGTGGTGTCTGAGACATTTGCAGCCAACCTGTATATTTCTCATACTCCACAAACAAATAGAATGATTTCAGCTCCCTACACGATCAGCCTGACTTATTTTAAGAATCACTGTCACCAAAAATATTTCAATTCTGATAACTGTATAGTTTTAATACTCATAACTTTATCACAATATTTACATTCACTAAAATGTCATGTAATCTTTAATACCCCGTACACAGGCTTCCAATGGAGAATATAAGTGGCTGTGCAGAGTATATACAGTATACACTGCTTTGACCCTTAGGAAGCCTGTCCATGACCGTTTGTAGACATTAAGGGGTTTATTTACTAAAGCTGGAGAGTCCAAAATCAGACTCCCTTCTGCATAGAAACCAATCAGCTTCCAGGTTTCATTGCCAAAGCTTCATTGAACAAGCTGAGGTTAGAAGCTGATTGGTTTCTATGCAGAAGGGAGTCTGATTTTGGACTCTCCAGCTTTAGTAAATAAACCCCTAAGTTTCTGTAAAGAAGCTGGAGGAAATCAGCAGCACTAAGATGCAACCAAGTAAGAAAAAATGTGAAAAACGTTTTCGTCTGATATCTATCTAAACTTATTTTACATGCTTTTTTCAATATATTTACATGCAGAAGAAGCTATCCATTCAAAATTCCAGTGACGGGGGTTGGCACAAGCTAGAACACTGCTAAAGTTGCTAACAAGAAACACCTTTTAAACTGCTGTTGCTTCTGTTGCTGGCCAGCTTTAAATGCATGTAAAAATGGGAAAATATAAATGCAATTAATACACTGAATACTGATGCATTCCAATAAACATTATACTAACAACCTTCATATCTTGATTATACAGTACAGGGTACAGACAAAGTGTTCATAGACCCTGGGTTATAGGCTCATACCTTCAGGTTGATGGACACTGGCAAAGCTTTTGAGGACACAATCCTTGAACCTCTTATAACCAGGGCTGGAGCTACTACTATGCAAACTAGGTAGCCGGCTAGGGGCGCGGCAAGAGCTGTGAATACGGTGGTATAGTTTTCCCTGCTGTAACATTAATTATGTCTTCTCTGGGCCCCATCAGTTCACTAGAGACACAGCTACAGCTGCGCTGCATTTTGTAATGCTGTTTATTGGCAGCTAGCCGCAGCTGCTCACATGGGTGTGGACATTTTTGGAAAAACTACTTGTCCAGGGACTAAATCGGTGCCCCAATCTACTTTTCCCTCATGACAATCTACTTGTCCAGATAAAAAATTAAATATATTTGAACCAAAACCGTATTTAAATCTGAGGCGCTTTTAGGAATTTCTGGGGCTTTAAAAATCAAAAGGGGCTTTATAGCGACTTAACTTTTAATATTTTTAACATTGTGCTGTTTAACTCCTCCTCCCCTCCCTGCCTCTCTCCAGCACTGCACCCAGTGACTAGCAGAGAGGGAAAAAAACCTTGTAGTGTAATGAGCACCGATTGGGTGCTTGTCAGGAAAGGGGAGTTGTCCGGCTTATCCTTTATCCTTTTTTTTGCATTTTTTGCACGATTAAAAAATAAATTTAGGACCGAAGATTACACAAAACCCCTAAACATTATATATTTTCCTAAAGCAGGCACCCTAGAGCAGTGGTCACTAAATGGCGGACCGTGGTCCGGAACCGGATCGAGGGACAGCCCTGTCCAGACCGCAGCCATGCTACCCTCCCTTGGGCCCAGGCCCGGGCTGGCCATAGGGCACACTGGGCCGCTGGGCTTAAGATGACCAGGCCACACAGCGGGAGGTAAGCGGTGACCGCGGTCTGGACATGGCTAATACAGACCACGGCCGCTGCTCAGCTCCCGCTGTATGACTATGCCTAAAGCTGGGCCAACAGGAGGAGTGGCAGTGATGGCTCCAGATGACAAGCAGGAAGTGCTGCTGACACAGGGACACCTCCTCGGCCAGCCGCTGCACTTAAGGGACAATGGCAGCCGCTCTCCTTCACCCACCGGCACACTGTTGCAGCTCTGTAGCAGCGGTGGATGGGGCTTTTTCTGCTGGACCAGCTGCCTCTTTGCTGGACTGGCTGACTTTGCTGGATGGGCTGTCTCTTTGCTGGACCGGAAGTACCTGTAACCAGCGTGAACCGCAAGCCAGGCGGATGTGACGTCACACAGGAGGAAGTTCGGCAATCAGAGAGGAGAAAGCAAGGCTACGCGCTTGGAGCTGACTGCTCCTGCTCGAGGCCTAAGGATAAATTGCCTGATATGTTTTGTTCTATTTATAGGGCCAAGAACGTCCAGAGGACTGCAGAGCCCAGTGGACCATATAAAAACAATAAAGATTAATGAAAAATTAATGTGTATATATAAAATTATATATATATATATATATATATATATATATATATATATATATATATATATATATATTGCACCATAAGGAGTACTGAATAATTAGATAAGTAGGCAAAGGAAGGGGGGAAAAAAGAAGAAGGGAAAAGGAGGGGGGAAGAAAAAGGAAAGGGGAGGGGAGAGGGGAAAAAAAGGAAAAGGGTAAGTACTTAAAATAACAACTTCAGAACATTAAAAATTAACAAATTCGGTTTGTTTACAAGATTTTCTTTAAAAAACATTGGTATTTATGAGACCGTTGGGTAAGGTTAAGGATAATATGGAACCCAGTACCTATATATTACAAAATTTATAATAAGGTGTGGATCTCTATTTTCTCATTGAGGTCCCCTGGAGTGAGGGTCCCTAGCGTGTAAATCCAGAAGGTCTCTCGTTGGCATACACATTTAAAACATTCGGCCATGGGGAGAGCCCTGGAGATGGATTCTATGACCCTGACTGACAGACCTACAGAGTAGATCCCTGATGTGCATTGGGAAAGTGTCTAGGAACACTATGTTGGTCGTTACCATCCTCAATGAGGCGTCTGTGTTCACCAAAACGCTTTCTCAGGGTTCTAATGGTTCTACCTACATAAAACTGACCTCAAGGGCACATGAGAGAATACACTACATAAACAGATGAGCAGTTGTAAAAATCTTTGATGGTGTGTCTTACCTTTGACTACAAAGTCTTTCTGCCCATGTGTGACAAAAGGGCACCTAAGGCACAGTTGCACCTATACATGCCCTTAAGGCTAAGAAATGTAGTGAGTGGGCCCAAAGTGGTTTAGTTCTTGTCCCTATAAATAGAACACGTCAGGCAATTCATCCTTAGGCCTCTAGAAGGAGCAGTCCGCTCCAAGCTTGTAGCCTTGCTTTCTGATTGCCGAACATCTTCCTGTGTGATGTCACGTCCTCCCGGCTTGCGGCTCACGCTGGTTACAGACAATTCCAGTTCAGGTTTGGGCGACGGTGCCTGGGACTGGTGACCACCTACAGCTTTCTGGGAACACTTCCACCACCTACGGTGGCCATTAACATACCGTATTGATCCCTGCAGGACACGGATGAGGGCTATACAGTTTACCTTACTGATGGGCTTTTTTATCACATTATTGTGAGTTTTTACATTTGTGGCTTATAAAAACCTTTTTAATACTGCACTTAGAAGGCGCCTCTCTTTTCTTTCCTTACCAATCCAGCAAAAAGACAGAAAACAACAATTTGCTGTGTTGTTAGGGGAACTGTGTTGTGATAGGGGCGCTGTGTTGTGATAGGGGCGCTGTGTTGTGATAGGGCCGCTAGATGTGCTGTGTTTTGTTAAGGGGCACTGTGATGTAAAGAGGGGCAGTGATGTGAATGGAAAAGAGGACACTGTGGGACTTCTTTGAAGAGGGGACTACAGTGTGAAAGGTACGCTAAAGATCATAATGTACCTGGGGGGACTGTGATGTTTTATATTGCTAACGAGATTCGTA